CCGAGGATAGGGTCCGTAGCTGGGCTTCGACAAAACATGCATATTCTTCCTGAAATCAAAGAAGTCAGGTTGGTAGTGCTTGCGTACCCATTGGGAGCGACATACCAAACGCCGCGCCAACCGCAAGAAAACGGTGATACTGAGGGCTATGGGGACTTTTAAGTTCTGTATTGTGTTTTCCGCAGGAATCGCAGTCTAGTAAAATCTGATTAGCATTTTCACATTGTCTCCGTTAATTTATTTGGGCAATCACCTGAGGATATCTACCAACTTTTTATTGCAATTTCCCCTCTCCCTCTGCTCCTTTTAAAACTTACCTCGTTGATCCTTCCCTAGAAGGTTGTCTGGGTTCAGTTCACTTCAGTTTATTTGAGGGAAACGTAGGTGTTAAGTCTCTGAACTCTCTGTTTGTTACAAGGAAGAGAATAATGTGAAAAATCTAAAAATGGAATCATCAAACATTAAACAACTGCACATTTTCGGAACAAGTCAGAAAAACGAATTTTTCCAAGTGTTAAGAACATTACACTTCTAAATATGTCGTACGGTAGTCAGTCAATGCACGATTGTGCTGTATAATATTGGTGCGATCTCAGTTTCTGTGGGAGACAAACTAAGTGCAAACAATTGCATTTAATATACCTGGCATATGAATAAAATAGAAAACAAGAGTTACTGAGATACGGGCAGTAGTATTATAACGATAATAAACTGTCCGAAAGACTTTTACGAAGCAGCCCTCACCGAAGGTGGAGAAAGCTAACTTGACAACGTAAACGACTAGCATCGTGGACTTGGCTACCTTGGAGCAGTGAAGTGACGGTTTAATTGAAGCCGTGGCTCATGTTGGATGTGGCGCGGTCGACAAGACAAAGATTCCCAAATCATAAGTCTGGGAAGACGGTTTGGTTTGGACAACCTTTACTGCTGTAGAAGTAAGTACACAAAGGCTCTGTAAGCAGTCGCCGAGAGTGTGCTCTCCAGGCAAGTTGTTTTGTCTGTGTCCGCCTTCGAGGTCCGGAGTTCCAGTGCATGTGTGCGCCTTTCGTTGTCTCAGCTTCTGCCAGCCAATTAGAGGAGGAGCAGTGTTGATTGGATTCGAACACTCGCGAGGCTAGTGACCAGCCACGTGCGTCCCAGCAGTGTGTCGGCAAGGAGTGTGAGACGGACAGGAGGGCAGCGTGACAGAGGTGGATGGCAAGTAGACGCAAACTGCCACACCCACACACACAAGTCTTTCTGGGCGTCTACCTCCTGCGATGGTTCGCAATTTAGGAGGTAAATCCTGCGGTCGGGAGATCAGTTCCCACCGACTCGCATAATGTTGCACTTCATCACCTTAAGCGGTAAAAGGCAATCCTGTGACCATTTTTCGAGCCCGTTTAGGTTTGTCTGCTAGCGCGCTTCGTCCATTTCAGTTCGGATGACACTCCAAAGCTTTACATCATCAGTGAACATGGCAACATCACAATTAAGTTCATTGACGCAGTCGTTGACGTAGAGTCGTCATAGACTGTGTGTACTTCATTGCCGCAATCAACTATCCGGGTCCAGCGTTCTAAACAATACAGTATGTTTGTCACGCATAACCTGCCTCCGTGAAATCCGTGCTGCGCATCGCATAGAATATTATGCTGTTTTAGGGAATGAATTATTTCTCTCTTAATCATTTTTTCCATAAATTTGCAACAAACGGAAGGCTGGCTGGTCTGTAGTTGTTTGCCCAGACCCTGCTGCCGCCTTTATATAATGAAGTGATTAGTGCATATTTCCAATCGACGGGCAAATAGCCTGATTCGAACGAAGATTGGAAGACCATGGACATCGTTTAAATAGTTCTCCAGCGAGCGCCTCCAACAATTTAATGGTATGTAATCCGGCTCAGGTGATTTAGACTCATTTAGCGACAACGGTTCTTTGCGAACAGTAGCTTCGGCAAAAGAGACATCCTCAATCGTTGACCCTTCCATTTTGTCGCAGTTGGCAGGAATAAATGCGTTTTTCATTATAAAAAGGGACTTAAAAATTGTGAAAGGCGCCCTGTCTTTTCTGCACCATCGCTGAGCTCTAGGTCTTCACTAGCCTTCAATATAGAGATTAGGTGTCTGATTCGCGTGCTTCTTCTTATATAGCCTTCCTGGAATTTACGCCGTGTCCCCTGGATTAGCCTCTTAACTAGTTTAATCTGTGTTTTGTACACATCTATGGACACAAAGCTCATATCCGAGAGGAATTTTCTCCATAGCCTCCGCCTTTTATTCATTTCCTATTCTTAAGCTGCTCTAGACCAGATGGGTAAACTGAACTCCAGTCGATAAGAGGGGCATTGAAGTCTCCCACGATTAAGACTACGAACCGAATAGGGAATCTCTGCAGGTCCTCGATCAGACAGCCGTCAGCCATGCGTTTTCTGTCATCTCCATAAAAGTAGACGTTATAATTCGTTTATTGTTATCGCTCTTGCTTACGGCCAAGAAGCTGCATGATCATGTGCTCGCATTTTCGTAATATGTCTCACTGAGCTTTACACTAGCAGGTTGTCTGGATCGTTGATAATCTGCAAAGCACGCAGGACGTCCGGAAATATCGTACGGAATTTTGAAGTCGGAGATATGAAAGCTTGCCTCAATAAAGTGCGCGAAAGCTCTCGATTGGGATGCTACGCGTTTGTCAAAAGCCTCCCATTAACTTTTGATCGAAAGAAAATGGAGCATCTTGAGTCCCCTTGGCGTAACAGTGGCTGTAAAGTGTAGTTATTCGTCTCTCTGGCACGTACAGATAAATATCGTCTGTTATAAATAAGTAAAATAAATAATTTTTATTAAAGACCCGTCGGGGTCTCATCAAAGCAAGAAAAAATAAATTTACATGCAATAGAGAGGGTTCCGCCGTGAGCGTCGACAGACCGCTTGAGGTCGAGATGAGACGATGACATCAAAAACCGCGAAAATCTTCGCTATGAGGGAGAAGTGGTAGCAATGGACTTAATAACCAATTCAAAACAGAGGGTTGTAAAGATGTAAATGAGGGTTTTCACTTGATTTATCACTTAATCCCAGGAGGATCCTTCTCGAAGTCAAGAAGCTGAGTGTTCGGGAATGAGACCGTTAAAGGTGTCTTTATGATTTCCGGTGACAGGTGTTTGCGTAATTTCGATTTGAATACCGATAACTTAGGCGATGACCTAGTTGCATGCGGAAGATTATTTCAAAGGAAGACATATTTGAAAGTAAAGAAGAGGGAGCGCTTAGATGTAATGCAAACATGCGGTGGAATCATCATGGAGGAGTTGCGCGTGGCATATGACTGATCTCTCGGAGTGAGAGTGCCAATGAGTGGAAGATTGGAGTTAGAGTTAATGCGAAAAAGGGAGCAAAGGCCAGCCTCGAGGCTTCTAACCCACAAAAACGTAATGTTGGCTAGCTGACATCTCTGAGTATAAGAAGTACCGGATGCGACTTGAGAGAGCAGTTTCCTGGTGAAAACCATCTGAACATTTTCGATTTTATTACGGTCTACGGCGTACATTAAACCAAAAAAAGGACAGCAGTATTCGAGGACTGGAAGAGCAAACGTTTGATGAAGTCTACAAACCCCGCAGTTCCAATTATACCCCCGAATAATCCTATGTCTTCATACCGGTTACTTATCAAAGCCCTACTATATATCCTGCAAATAATT